TTCTCTTGACAAAATTCTCCAAATTTTGTAATTTTTTCAAAAAAAAAGACGCTCAAATTTCATTGAAATAAGCAAAAATGACGTATTTCAGGTTTCTGAAAATCTAATAAAGTAAACGAAATTTTTTTATCCTGCTTTGACAAAAGAAACGCTCTAAATTTATTTGCAAAAATAACACATTTTAAGCTTAATTTTGTAATTTTTTTTTTTATTTCAGACATGCTTTTTTTACCTTTTTTTGACAAAATCTCTCGAATTTTAAGGAAAATGCTCAAAATTCATTAAATAAGCAAAACCGGGACATATCAGACTTAATTTTGTAATTTTTTACCTTCTTTTTGACAAAATATTCTGAATTTTAAAATATTCCCATAGGAAAACGCTCTAAATTCATTACAATAAGCAAAAATAACACATTTCAAGCTTAGTTTTGTATTTTTTACCTTCTTTTGACAAAATCTTTCGAATTTTGTAATTTTCTTTAAGGAAAACGCTCTAAATTCAATAAAATAAGCAAAAATAACAAATTGTAAACTTAATTTTACAATTTTTTACATTCTCTTGACAAAACCTTCCAAATTTAATTTTATTTTTTTTTCAAAAAAAAAAAAACGCTCAAACACATTTTAGGCTTATTTTACCATTTTTTACCTTCTCGTGACAAAATTCTCCAAATTTTGTAATTTTTTTTTTAAAAAAAGACGCTCAAATTTCATTGAAATAAGCAAAAATGACGTATTTCAGGTTTCTGAAAATCCATTAAAGTAAACGAAATTTTTTTATCCTGCTTTGACAAAAGAAACGCTCTAAATTTATTTGCAAAAATAACACATTTTAAGCTTAATTTTATAATTTTCTTTTTTATTTTGGAAATCCCGAAAATGCATTTTGTGGTAAACATTGTTAACATTTTTTTCTTGTTACTTGAAAAATTTTTTGAGTGGATTTTGGTCTATCAGTGTCTAACCCTCAAAATTGTTACATTTGTAATAAAATATTATCAAATTTAATGATAATATGAATTGTTTTAAAATACCAAAAATGAAAACGTAAATAACTAGGAACTTAGGAACTTTTTCTTTTAGCAAAAAATAAAATTACCAATTAAAGACTTTTTTTTTCTTAAGTCAACAAACATTTTTTCTAAAAGCTGTAATACATGAAACATCTTTACATGTTTTTTTTTAATTTTTGTCACACACAAAGGCCGAGATTGACTATTCTTTAACATTATTATTTCATAACAAGGATTTTTCTTATCTAAATCAAATTGAAACTCAAGCCTGCCAACAATATGTTTACGTGATTTACGTCCAAATTTCTAGCCAACATGCCGAGGAAAGCCCCCAAATCTTACCAATCACCCGGGGAAAAACTTACGATTATCAGCGAGACCAGCGCCGCTTCCATCGTCGAAATGGGCAGGCAAGGCCCCAGCCCCTTCCAGAGGTTCTTCCTCTAGATAAAGCCCATTGACAAACCCACTTCTGGCCGCCATCTCCATATCGAACCCACTCGCAGTTTCGCCATCATTCTCAACCATGAGCCTAATTCTGGTCAATTTCAAAATCATCTCTTTGACAGTATCATCAACGCTTTGTGTCTTAGCCCCAATGGAAAACTTGAGACTGTCGTATTCATTTTGCAAACTCGTTATAATCTGGTCTCTCTGACTTCGCAAATACAATTCCAACTGCTTGTGGGATTCACAGATGAGTCGAATGCTCTCGGAACGATGCTTCTCCAAAACAAACAGTTGCTTTCGGAGGAAATCCGACATTGTGAGCATCCGATCGAGGCACTCCTTGCCCTCTGCGAATTGATTCTTCAACGTGTTTCTGAAGACTAGGTCTGAGTTAAGGGGCGAATTGAAATCGCCCAAAATCTTGTCCAAGTCGTCAATTTTGGCAATTTCGCTTATAAACACGACCCGATGGCTGTTTAAATAGTCGTTTATGTCGTGGTATACATAACAATGCTTGCAGAGATATTGGGTGCAAGTCACGCAATAAAGCATGGAATCCCGTTCGGGGGCGCACAGATTGCAGGAAGGGGCGCAGAACTGGGGGGCTGTGGCCAGAGAAGTGTCGGAAGAGTCCGGGTCCGACGACATCTAACCGAAAAACACATCCAACATTCAAATTACCGGCCAATCGCAGTGTACGTGACGTCACACCGCTCGCGTTTCATTGGCCGACATTTTAACCTACGTAAATTCGACGAAACCGGTTATTTACTTTTGAAAAACTAATCTCATTTACAACTCACACTCGTCATTAACACGAATACGTAAGAAATAGCAAGGGATTAAGAGAAAATTACGATTGTAAAACATCAAAGCCTCCATGTTTTTTTCAATACTTACCTTTTGCGTTTTGCCGACTTTGATCGTTGGTGTTATCGAATTAATTGATGTCGGATAAATGTATGATTGCAAGTGATATAAATAAGATTATTATAGACATAAAACACTTCACAAATACTTTAAAAAGAAGTTAAATCTCTGAGGGTATATGACCACCGACGCGGCGAAGAATCAAAGAGGCGGATGGTGGGGCGACTTCGAAATACGTCAACAGGTGGCGCTGTGCTTCTAAAGAGTGAAAATATCATAAAAAAATATTATGCACACATATTAGCCGATTTTGTCGTTTGGGGACGTCACTACGGCCCAAAAAGTGGATAACAATGTCTTTTTAACATACCATCCTGTCAAATTTTCAAAAATACCATCGTGTGATTGTGGTCACAAATGACAGTTATGTCATTCGACTAAAACAAAAAAAAAACTTTTTTTTATAAATCCCACGATATTTGGCCACTGTTATTAGTTACAAACTCTGCTTCACTGAAATTATTTAATAATTCGATGAAAAAATTTGTCTGGTGGGGTGATAGATATACTCGTTTTCATATTAATGTGCATCGAAGTAGTCGTTGAAAGGGATCATTTTAAGGTGGCAACCATGAGAAAATTCAAACAATCCTAAACTCAATCTTCCCTAAAAATTATTTTTTCAAGTAAATGTGTACCCCTTGTAGCAAAAAATACTTAAAATTAGCAACTTAATCAACATAGGATAGCACACATAAAGATTTTTGTCATTATTGATCTGATTAAATCTGTTTTGAATGACGTTAATGACACTTTTTGTGTAAATCGGACTTTAAATTAAAGATTCATTTAAACTTCTACAACCTACTTGATAAATTTTAAATGTGGAGTAAAAATTTTATAATATACTGCAAGTCACTATGAATACATATTAACCAATATTGTAGTTTGGGGGCACTAATACCGGCAAAAAAGTGGCTAACGATGTCATTTCGACAGATGTCACTGTCAAATTTCCAAAAATTTAATCGTGTGATTGTGGTCAAAAATGACAGTTATGACAAATGTCATTTGACTAAAACCAAAAAAGGATTTTTTTATGAATTGTGCAATATTTGGACACAGTTAATTAGTAAAAAACACCTTATTGCTTCACTGCATTTAATGCAGTGCTGCTTGTATTTTGTATTTTGTTGGCGGTTTTGCTCCTTACCAGTGTTGCCTTGTTTGGTGAAATGTCACCAAATCTTGTGGTTTTCATGCTAGTTTGGTGATTTAAGTAAAAAAATAACTAAATTGAGTCAAGTTACATCATTTTTGGCTTTTTTCTGAACGCTTTAGTACGTTTTTCGATTAAATTTCATTAAAAACATGCTGAGAATTTACCAAAGTGGGCGAAAAATGGGGTTATTTTTGTATTTTTCGAGTTTTTAAGCACTAAAACTGATTAAAAAATTTGCTTATTTTGTAATTTGGGCACTAAATACGGGCGAAAAGTGCTTCACTGAAATTATTTAATAATTCGATGAAAAAAAATTACTGGTGAGATGATAGATAGCGCTGTGTCTTTAAATGTAGAGTAAAAATTTTATAAAATTACTGCAAGTCACTATGAATACATATTAATCAATATTGTAGTTTGGAGGCACTAATACAGGCAAAAAAGGGGCTATCGATGTCATTTCGACAGACGACACTGTCAAATTTCCAAAATTTTAATCGTGTGATTGTGGTCAAAAATGACAGTTGTGACAAATGTCATTTGACTAAAATCAAAAAAGCATTTTTTATGAACCTTGCATTATTTGGACACTGCATTTATTTAATTAGTACCTGCTTGTATCTTGTATTTAGTTGGCGGTTTTGCTCCTTACCAGTGTTGCCTTGTTTGGTGAAATGTCACCAAATCTTATGATTTTCATGCTGGTTTGATGATTTAAGTCAAAAAATTACTAAATTGAGTCAAATTACATAATTTTTCCTTTTTTCTGAACGCTTTAGTCCGTTTTTCGATAAAACTTCATTAAAAACGTGCTGAGAATTTACTAAAATGGGCGAAAATTGGGGTTATTTTCGACTTCTTAAGCACTAAAACTGATTTAAAAAATAAAAAATTGGCTTATTTTGCACTAAATACGGGCGAAAAGTGGCTATTGATGACAAATTATAAGACGTTCTTAAAATGGTTGAAATGGGTTTTATTTTTTGTTCTGTTGGCAATAAATTACAGAAGTACAAAATGAAAAATTTTTAATAAGCCGTTGTTGAAAGCTAGCGGGGTGCAAAGTGAGTTCAAAGACATTATTTGAGCATCTTTTAACAATTTTGTTAAATTCAATAAAAGAATTTGATGGGGTATTAGTGGGGAAATTTGGTTCCTTTTGCCTTGACGTTGGCGTCGTGCGACTTCTTTGTCTGACATATCGCACACCACTCGAGAGAATTTCTCTCAAAAAAATAAATTTCAAATACGTAAAAACGAAAAATGGGCGAAAAAAGCCCCAGTGAACAGTTAGAAGAAGGTGAAATAGTTGACGATGATGATTTGGAAGCCATATCAGATAATTCCATCATTGATTCAACTTTTGGTAAGTTTGCTTCAACTAACGAACATTTACGTGCACTCCCTTTAAGTAGCGATAGTGATTCAGACAAGATAAAAACTAAAAAGCTACTGCACCGTAAATCAAAATTAAAACACCACAAAAGACGCAAAAAACGCCGATTACCGTCTGACAGTTCAGACAGCGATGTGTCTCCTTCCCGGGATCTCAAGGGCAAATTAAAAGAAGCAATCCACATCAGTGGAAGCGATGAGGGGCTCAAAAACCCCCTCGAGACGAGACTTAAAGCAATGGGCGGTCTCACGACAAACACTGAGCCCCCCAAAAAAACCGGGAGCGAAGACACCTCAGACAAAATCGACGACACAGAACTGGAAAATCTGAGATTGGAAGCGCTTAAAACAGCAATTTTGAATAAATTCCAACGACGGAAGCGGAAAAAAGTCACACCGGAGACACAACAAGACACAGCAAGTGGAACACTTGAAAACAAAGAGAATAATACTCCAAAAGAGGGGCCAAAAACGGCCAATAACCCCGTCATTGATTTAGAGGAGGACGAGGACGTATTGCGAGCCTCCCTATTGGCGGGTTTAGCAAAAAATATCACAAATAAGACAGTCAACGAGATTGTTAAAACAAAACCATCCCCACCACAACTTCCAATTCAAATACAAAAACCAGCGCTTCCGAAACGACCAATAAATAATTTTAAAACAAATAAAATCGTTGCTAAACCACTGGTAAAACCGTTAATCATAAATGTCAACGATTCAGACAGTGAGGATGATGTTAAACCGAAACAGGTCACACCACCACAAAAAAAAACAGACTTGAATGTAATTACCAGCAATGTTGAGAAATTTCTCAAAGAGCAAAGAGCCAAATTCGAGACGGAAAGTAAAAAACGATTCCAAGTCGTAAATAAGAATAAAAGTATCTGGGAAAAATCCGCCGTTAAACTTTTACCGAAATCGCAACAGCTTGAATATCAGCAGTTGCTGAAACGTTTGAGAAATGCTGAAAAGCGGAAGAGGGCACGAAAAATCGTGCAAAAGACTGAAACTGTCAAAACTACAGTGCAAATTGCTGAAAGTGCACCAAAAGCTTCAGTTGAAGTTACAGTCACACCAGTTGAGATTCAAGTTGAAGTTAAATCAAACGAAGCCAAGTCAGATAATGCCACAAAGGAGCACTCGAGTCTGGAAAGTGACACTGAAAAGCGGAAAACAGACGTCATAAGCGAACTCACCACTTTGCAGAAAACCCTCAAGGAAATCAAGATGCAGAGGAATGGAAGGTATTGCTTGATTTTATTTACTTTGGACGATTTTTTATACAGAGTGTGCCAAATAAGAACTTAAATATTTCAGTGAGATTGCGGATTTTTTTCTAAATTAACTTTTTTTTTTCCGACAAGATACAAAAATTGAAATTTCACATCTTCTGTTTCAATGTTGCCAACTTAATTTCAAAAGCAGAAGCCACTTTGATTAGAGATTTAAGTATCCATTTTTTTTCGACAATTTTGAGATTTTTTCAGCAACATTAAAAAGACACAATTGAATTTTCAAATCTTCTATGTCAATGTTGCCAACTTAATTTCACTTTCACTTTGATTAGAAATTTAATTATTTAATTCTTATATTTTTTTCTTGAACATTTTTTTTTATTATTTTCATACCAATTGTTTATTCCCAATGTTATATAGGCTGTTCCAACAAAGTAAATATTTTTGTGAAATTATGGATAATGACTGTTTTTAGCAACATTGAAAAGACACAGGATATAAAAAGTGTATTCTCATATCTTCTGTTTCAATGTTGCCAACTTAATTTCAAAATCAGAAGCCACTTTGATTAGAAATTTAATTTTTTTATTATAAATTTTTGGATGAATTTATTTTTTTACCAACCAATTAAGTAAATATTTCTGTGAGATTGTGGATAATTTTTTCAATGCTGTTTTAATGTTGAAAACTTAATTTCAAAAACAGAAGCCACTTTGATCAGAAATTTAAATATCCATTTTTTGGACAATTTTGAGATTTTTTCAGCAACATTAAAAAGACATACAATTGAATTTTCAAATCTTCTATGTCAATGTTGCCAACTTAATTTCAAAATCAGATCACTTTGATTAGAAATTTAATTATTTAATTCTTATATTTTTTTCTTGAACAATTTTTTTCATTATTTTCTTACCAATTGTCTATTCCCAATGTTATATAGAGTGTTCCAACAAAGTAAATATTTTTGTGAAATTATGGATAATGACTGTTTTTAGCAACATTGAAAAGACACAGGATATAAAAAGTGTATTCTCATATCTTCTGTTTCAATGTTGCCAACTTAATTTCAAAATCAGAAGCCACTTTGATTAGAAATTTAATTTTTTTATTATAAATTTTTGGATGAATTAATTTTTTTTTTAATATTTTTGTGAGATTGTGGGTAATTTTTTTAAGGCATTGAGATTTTTCCAGCAACATTGAAAAGACACAAGATATGAAACTTGAATTCTCAATGTTGCCAACTTAATTTGAAAATCAGGAGCCACTTTGATTAGAAATTTAATTATTTTTTGAAAACTTAATTTCAAAATCAGAAGCCACTTTGATAAGAAATTAAATTATTTAATTGTTATCAATTTTTTTGACGATTTTTCAATTTTTATCCAATTCCCTGTTTTCCAACATTATACACGCTGTCTCAACTAAGTAAATATTCTTGTGAAATTGTGGATATTTATTTATTACATTGAAAAGGCTCAAAATTTAAATTCCATATCTTTTGTTTCAATGTTGCCAACTTTAATTAGAAAATCAGAAGATACTTTGATTAAAAATTTAATTATTATCAATTTTTTTGACGATTTTTCATTTTCTTTACTCTAACGATATACAGGATGCCCTAATGAAGTAATGTTTCTGTGAGATTGTGCATAGTTTTTTCGATGCTTGTTTCAATGTTACCAACTTAATTTGAAAACAAGCTACTTTCATTAGAAATTTAATTCTTATGATTTTTTTTGACGATTTTTTAATTTGGTTTTTTAACGTTATACAGGGTGTCTCAACTAAGTAAATATTTTTGTGAGATAGTGGATATTTTTTTAGTGCATTGAGATTTTTTCATCAACATTGAAAAGGCTCAAAATTTAAATTCCATATCTTTTGTTGCCAACTTTAATTAGAAAATCAGAAGATACTTTAGAAATTTAATTATTATCAATTTTTTTTGACGATTTTTCATTTTCTTTACTAATTGTCTATATTCCAACGATATACAGAATGTCCCAATGACGTAATATTTCTGTGTTTTTTCAACGTTATACAGGGTGTCCCAACTAAATAAATATTTCTGTGATATTGTGGATAATTTTTTTAATACATTAAGTTTTTTTAGTAACATTGAAAAGACACATGATACGTAAATTGAATTCTTATATCTTCTGTTTCAATGTTGCCAACTTAATTTCATAATCAGAAGCCACTTTGATAAATATAATTTTTTTATTGTTATCAATATGTTTTAATTTACCGGCTTTTATTTAATATATTCAAAAATAAATATTTTTTTAGTATAACATGTTTAAGATGTTTTTTTTCGTTACATAGCAAGGGAGCATAATACAGGTTTATCTCTCATTTTTTAGGACCAACTGTGTAACTAAAAATGTTACTTTTTCTAAATAAATGCAAAGAAATTGAAAATTTTGACTTTCTCTGTTGATTCTAGAAATTTGGGGGATAAAATAAAGCCAATCCTAGTTTATTGTTTCAAATTCTGATTATAATTAAAATTGTAACATATTTTACATTTGGCTATTATTCGTGATTGTCCTACTCGCTTCGCTCGTTTCGAGTCCATTTTCTTGAATAATAGCCTCCATTGTGCGAAACAATTTGTTATTAATTAGAGTGTATTTTTATGTAATTTCATGATTTGAATGAATACAATGTTTTTGGCATAAAGTAGCAGCGCCGATTAAAAGTTTGCAGATAAAAAGCAAGTATCAAGTCCTGACACCGATTATTCGAAGAATAACAGCGACGAGCAACGATCGAAAAAAACAAGAAAATCGCATCAAAACACTTATGCGTGAATTGAACGAAGCGAGGAGTAGTTTGTCGAAATCGCATGAAAAATTCTCGTCTCTTGTTAAAGAATTGGTTGATAAAAAAGCAAGAATTGATAAGAGGTTAGTTTTGTGAAAAAATGTCGACGAGCTATGACATTTTTTTACAGCTACGACGAAGCGAAGAGTGTTAAAAAAACCGAGAATGGGAATATTATGAAATCAGCTCCTGTTACGTCGACTCCAGTCAAAGCACCGGATGTTACCGATGAGGCGACAATTTCGACTTTTGTGAGCAGTTCTACCAACAATGATTGCGAGGATATGGATGTGTGTAATAGCGATGAGACGGATGTTTATCAAATTGACATTGTTGATCCGAATGATATTGATCAGATTTTTAAAAGGAAGGCTCCAATCAAGCCGGCCATTCCGGAATATGTCTCACCTTTATGCTTTAACAATTACGAAAGGTGATGTATAATGAGGTTTGACTGTATTTTTGTTTAATGTTGTTGTATTAGGTATAGTCATGTCGATCCACTTGGTATAATGTGTCCATATGAAGTGAATGGGTCGTGTAGGGATGTCGATTGTACTTATAAACATTATCTCAAAAACCACGAGAGATTGTAAGTCGGGTTTTACATTATAGATATTACAACTTGTGATTCGTGTAAATTAGCGTGTAGTGTTCTAAGTACAAAACGTGCCATAAGTTGAATACTTAACTCCCACAGGAACAAAATTTTTATAACCAAAGTATTTTTTACGCATTATTTCTATTGTTGTAGAGTTTTTACAATAAACGTTATATTGTTATACAAGCGTCTGATTTCTTTATCCCAATCAAGCTGAAGCAAAAATTTTTATTAATTTTGTAGTTAAATTATTATTTACATCAAATTATTAGCCTTCTTAGTAAACCGGTTCTGGTTGTTGGGTCATTAACAACCCGAAACGCTTCTTGATGGTGATTCTTTCACGAGAATACTTATCCTCAGGTGAAAAACGTGCTGAAAAAAATCAGTTTTTATCCTCATGTTGCAATTCAAAATTACCTGGATGGGCTGAAAGTGTTGGTTTTCCGAAAGGGTCATTTTTCTGCGAGAGAACACATTTTTATAACATTTATGAGAATTTTTTTTGATTATTTGTACTCACGTTCAAGGTGTAAACTCGGTTCCCGTCTTTGTCCAAATAATACATTAAGTACATCTTGATGATAATTCGACGACTTTATCTAAAAGAAATCGGTTCAAATCATTTAAAAATAAAAAATTATTATCACAAACCAGTGACAACAGAAACGTGCTTCTTGGTTATGTTAGTCAGTGTTGCCACGTTTGGTGAAATTTTACCAGATCTGGTGATTTTCATGCTAATCTGGTAACTTGTGCAAATTTTTTCAAAAATGAGTTAAAAAATTATTAATTGTGTTCAAAATTACGTTATGTTTACGTTTTTGTACGTTTTCCAATCGTAAACGGAGTTATTTCAAGAAATTTTGTTAAAAACACAATAAAAATTTATTACAACGGGGCAAAAATAGTGTTAGTGTTTAAGCACGTTTTAAAAAAAATTAAAAAGATGAGGTAATATTGTCACAAAAATAAATCGAAATTGTTTTCTATTTTACTGATTTTTGTACGTTTTCATCAAAAATTAGTTAAAAAAACAACCAAATTTGGTCTAGAATGGTATTATTGCTACCTTTTACTTTAGATTTAAACACAATTTTAAAGGAAATTTTTAGTTTTTAGCAAGAAAATTGCCGAAAACACTAAAAAATACCAAATTGGAATCGAAAATAACATTCCATTTATTCTTTTTATTTTAATTTTTTGTGTTTATTTTGCAAAATTTTGTTGAAAAAAGCCAAAAATTACATAATTAAGGCAAAAAAGAGTGTTTTTTTTTGTTTTTATTGCTTTAAAGACGTTTTTGAGCTAGAAAACGTTTTTTTTTATTTGGTGAATTTGATTATTTCTTTTGAAAACACGTCTAAAAATCACAAAAATAAATCAAAACTGTTTTTTATTTCACTGGTTTTTGCTCGTTTTTGTCAAAAATGAGCTTAAAAAGTCACAAAATTTGGCCTACAGAGGTGTTATTGCTACCTTTTTTTAAGTACGTATAATTTTAAAACAAAATTTTTAGTTTATAGCAAGAAAATTGCCTAAAACACCAAAAACATTACCAAATTGAATCAAAAATACTGTTACTTTTGTTCTTTTTAAGTATATTAACATTTTGTTGTGTTTATTTTTAATTTTTTTAAAGAAAAAAATCATAAATAATAAATGCTGGACCTAAATTTTACTTTATTTTTTTTTTGAATCAGGAGACTCGTTTGTTTTGCAAGATTTAATATTATTAAAAAATCACAAAAATAAATCGAAATTGTTTTTTATTTTACTGATTTTTGTTCGTTTTCTTCAAAAATTAATTAAAAAACACAAAATTTGATCTAGAATGGTGGTATTGCTACCTTTTTTCAAAAATTTAAACACAATTTTAAAGGAAATTTTTAGTTTTTGGCAAGAAAATTGCCTAAAACACTAAAAAAATACCAAATTGGAATCGAAAATAACATTCCATTTGTTCTTTTTATTTTAACATTTTGTGTTTATTTTGCAAAATTTTCTTGAAAAAAGCCAAAAATTACATAATTAAGGCAAAAAAGAGCGTTTTATGTTTTTTATTGCTTTAAACACGTTTTTGAGCTAGAAAACGTTTTTTTATTTAGTAAATTTAATTTTTCTGTAAGATTTTGTTAAACACGTCTAAAAATCACAAAAAGAAATCAAAATTGTTTCTTATTTCACTGGTTTTTGCTCGTTTTCGTCAAAAATAATTAAAAAAAACACAAAATTTGGTCTAGAAAGGTGTTATTGCAACCTTTTTTTAAACATTTAAGTACAATTTTTAAACGAAATTTTTAGTTTTTGGCGAGAAAAAACCAAAAAATTACCAAATTGAATCAAAAATAACATTCTCTTTCTTTTTTTTAAGTTTTTTAACATTTTGTTATGTTTATTTCACAAATTTCTTTTTCGTTAAAAAGCCAGAAATACATAATTAAGGCAAAAAGTGTGTTATTTTTGTTTTAAACCCGTTTTTGAGCCAGATTTTTTTTATTTGTTGAATTTGATTTTTTTTTCCACCAAAACACTTGTTAGTCGTACCAATGTTGCGTTCCGTAAACAAAAAACACTATTATTCTTGTTTAAATTTTTTTTATTTATTGAAAACCCAGAAATGAAAATTAAGGTATTTAAGAAAGATTTTTCCTGTACAGAGACAGCTGCCCTTTAACTGTTTTAACATATTCTTGTATTAATTTCGCAAAATTTTGTTAAAACCAAACTAACTATCACATAATTAAGACAAAAAGAGTGTTATTTTTAGCTTTTTCGAGCGTTTAAGTAAGTTTTTGAGCTTAAGTGATTTTTTGAACACTAGTTAGTCGCACCAACTTATAAACAAAAAGTCACTAAAGTTTTGTTATTTTGAAAATTGTAGGTTAGGTTTCCGGCAGTTTTTTTAATTTTTAATTTATTACAAACTAAAAAATGGAAATTGCTTCGCACCTGAACGACTCCAAGGTATTTAAGAAGGATTTTTCCGAATATGGCCAGATACTGAACATCGAGCTATCCCCATTTATCCTTTCGCAAGATTTAATTTTAATTGGTTTTGAAAGTAGAGTAATACTGGGCCATTTAAGGCTAGAGGTGTGTAATAAAAGTCGAATAGTCTTGTATTTATCAAATTTATTGTAGGACCAAACTTTGGACCTTGATATCTTGGCGGAATTCACCCTTAAGTCCCGATGCTCCTCCTTGAGCATCTCCCCCGAGACATCAACCAGTATTTTACCAAATAATATAATTTTCGCAGTGGCTTGCAAAGATTTCAAAGTGCGAGTTTTCCGAAGTGATTTAAGGGGCGACGATGTCTGTAAAGTCAGTAATGAATTAATTCCCACATCTTTTCTGATTATAACACTTCCAGGTGTTAAGCGACCACAACAGTTACATAAACGATGTTAAATTCGACCCCGACAACAATTTTCTCGCATCAGTGAGTGACGACAACACCGCCAAATTATGGGAAACTGAAGACTTCAAATGTGTTGTTACACTCCAATTAACATCACCTGGAATATCCGCATGTTGGCACAAAGAAGACAACTCGAAGTTGCTCATTGCTGAGAAGATCGGCCTGATTCGGTTTTACAACGTCGAAACGCAAAACCCGATCTTATCGCTCGATTACGGGAAGCCCCTGTCGTGCACCCATTGGGCGCCTTCGGACTCGCAATTCGTGGCCTCGTTGCAATTGGGGGAACTACTCATCTGGGATTTATCCAAACCTTGCGTACCCGCCACCAACACGCTTGTTTTCACCGAAGCTGGGGGCCATGTCAGGTTTAACGCCTTTGGGGACCTGGTAGCCGCCATCAATAATTTAGATAGCACGCTGAAAGTTGTCGATATTCGAACGAATCAAGTCAAGTTGGCGGTTTCTGTGGTACTTCCCAGCAATGTGAACTGGCATTGCAGGTACCCCCTTGTCTGTCTTGGGGATTACATGACGCTGACGTTTTGGAAAGTTGTGTCAAAATAAAGCAATTTTTTAAAAGTTTAAATAAGCGTTTTTTCTACAAAAATAACAATAAAGTAAAATTTAGGTCCAACATTTATTATTTATGGCTTTTTTCTTTTTAAATATTAAAATAAACACAACAAAATGTCAAAATACTTAAAAAGAACAAAAGGAACAGTATTTTTGTTTTTGGTGTTTTAGGCAATTTTCTTGCCATAAACTAAAAATTTCGTTTTAAAATTGTACTTATTGAAAAAAGGTATCAATAACACCTTTGTAGACCAAATTTTGTGTCTTTTTAAACTTATTTTTGTCGAAAACGAGCAAAAACCAGTAAAATAAAAAAAACAATTTCGATTTATTTTTGTGATTTTTAAACGTGTTTGACAAAATCTTGTAAAAAAAATCAAATTCAAATAAAAAAACCGTTTCCTAGCTCAAAAACGTGTTTAAAGCAATAAAAAAACAAAAAACACTCTTTTTTGCCTTAATTATGTAATTTTTGTTTTTTTTCAAGAAAATTTTGCAAAATAAACACAAAATGTTAAAATAAAAAGAACAAATGGAATGTTATTTTCGATTCCAATTTGGTGATTTTTTTAGTGTTTTAGGCAATACCACTCTATTCTAGATCAAATTGCGTAATTTTTGACGAAAAGGAACAAAAATCAGTAAAATAAAAAAACAATTTCGATTTACTTTTGTGATTTTTTACAAAATCTTACAAAACAAACGAGCCTCCTGATTCAAAAAAAAATAAAGTAAAATTTAGGTCCAGCATTTATTATTTATGGATTTTTTTTAAATATTAAAAATGAGCACAACAAAATGTTAAAATACTCAAAAAGAACAAAAGTAGCAATATTTTTTATTCAATTTTGAAATGTTTTCTTGTCATAAACTAAAAATTTCGTTTTAAAATTATACTTGCTTGAAAAAAAATAGCAATAACACCTTTGTAGACCAAATGTTGTGTCTTTTTAAGCTTATTTTTGATGAAAACGAGCAAAAACCAGATTTTTAGACGTGTTTGACAAAATCTTGCAAAAAAATCCAATTCACCAAATAAAAAAACGTTTTCTAGCTCAAAAACCTGTTTAAAGCAATAAAAAACAAAAATAACACTTTTGTTGCCTTAATTATGTAATTTTTGGCTTTTTTCAAGAAAATTTTGCAAAACAAACACAAAAGTAATGTTATTTCCTTTAAAATTGTGTTAAATTTTTGAAAAAAGGTAGCAATACCACCATTCTAGATCAAATTTTGTGTTTTTTAACAAATTTTTGACGAAAACGAACAAAAATCAGTAAAATAAAAAACAAAACAAACGAGTCTCCTGATTCAAAAAAAATTAAGTAAAATGTAGGTCCAGCATTTATTATTTATGGCTTTTTCTTTTTAAATATTCAAAATAAGCACAACAAAATGTTAAAATACTTAAAAAGAACTAAACTAACAGTATTTTTGATTCAATTTGGTAATGTTTTTGGTGTTTTAGGCAATTTTCTTGCCATAAACTAAAAATTTTATTTTAAAATTGTACTTGCTTGAAAAAAAATAGCAATAACACCTTTGTAGACCAAATTTTGTGTCTTTTTAAACTTATTTTTGACGAAAACGAGCAAAAGCCAGTAAAATAAAAAACAATTTCGATTTATTTTTGCGTTTGACAAAATCTTGCAATAAAATCAAATTCAAATAAAAAAACATTTTCTAGCTCAAAAACCTGTTTAAAGCAATAAAAAACAAAAATAACACTTTGTTGCGTTAATTATGTAATTTTTGGCGTTTTCAAACAAAATTTTTCAAAATAAACAAAATGTTAAAATAAAAAGAACAAAAGTAATGTTCTTTTTTATTTAGTTTTTTTTTGTAGCAATTTTCTTGCCAATAACTAAAAATTTCTTATAAAATTGTGTTTAAATTTTTGAAAAAAGGTAGCAATACCACCATTCTAGATCAAATTTTGTGTTTTTTAACTAATTTTTGACGAAAACGAACAAAAATCAGTAAAATAAAAAACAATTTCGATTTATTTTCGTGATTTTTTACAAAATCTTGCAAAACAAACGTGTCTCGTGATTAAAAAAAAATAAAGTAAAATTTAGGTCCAGCATTTATTGTTTATGGCTTTTTACTTTTTAATTTTAAAAAAGCATTGATATCTTACTGTACACTTGTGTATAGTTGGTTGCATACTCTATATTATTTTTAATTGAATGAGAATGTATTTCATTATGAATTATTTACAATTATGACAACCCGATCTAAAAATACTTTGTTGTAATGGGTATTTATTAAATCAAATAAAAAAATGGTAAAATACACAAATAAAGGGTGTATTTATTTATTTTTTAATAAATACACAAATTCACAAATATTGTTGTTTTTTCATTAAAATAGAATGTAGATAACCCAGTTATCGTAAAACATAACACTGCATTGTTAACAATGTTGTAATGGTGCAAAATCGGGCCACTTCCGTGTTTATCTTTATTAATGATTTTCCGACCTTGTGAAACCTAACCTATCATTTTACTAGCCCCGTTTTGGTGTGAAAGTATGAGGGATTTTTACCTTTAGTCCACGACGTGGTTAAATTTTTTATCTGAATTCCAAATTAATGATCATTTTCCCGCCTTGCGTATCCATAAACACGAGAAGTCATTTATTGTGTAACTAAGTATATTATTGGTTCATAAAAGAAATGTAACAAAATGGTTTGGGACGTCTCCCATTGGTCGTTTTGTGGCGGGGGGTTCAAAACCGGCCAATCGGCGTCGCCCGTTTTCTCCTATAGACCGCATAAGTGGCGTGGGGTCCAAATACGAACGAAGCCGTGTGTTCAGTTTGTTGGTAGAATCAGGTAAGAAATTTTTATATATTTGCATGTACAAATTGTCATTGTATCATATTTATTGTACGTGTAGTTTTATCTATTTCGCCGTTGATTTGCCCAAGGGGGCCTCCCTTGAGCCTTTGCAACGAAACAAACTCAAATTGATAAAATCCTCGCTACTGTGCATATAACGGCCAGCAAATGGCTGCCATAAGGATAGCATTGGGTCGCCTGCTCGACGCGGTTTTTATTTTTTTTCTCACTGGGGGGTTGTCGCACCCCCTTGGCGATTTTTTCACACAAAGAGTGATTTTTTTGCGATTTTTTGACAAATTTTCAGGCCGGTTCGAGGGACGCTTCACCGAAAATCGCTATTTGTTTTGACTCCGCTTTGTTCATATGGCAAGCTCTATAAGCGTATACGACTCCATTTGTACAATGTATTTCCTATGCTGGGAGCGAGATACCCCACACCGTGTAACGACTTTTCGACGAAAATGAACGGTTTTTGGGCCAATTTTCGAAAATTTTCACACTAATCGAGTGACCAGTTTTTTTTTAACCGTACTTTTATTGATGACGTAAGCGGGTAATTCGGCTTTCACCCCTGGTTCGAACTCGGACATTTTGCCGCCTTTTAACCCCATTTTAACCGTTTCAACAAAACGCAATTCGAAGGTTACAAAAGGTCACACGTATCATTTTACAATTAACAATTCGTAGCAATCAACAAAACACGTTGCCATAACAACCAAACAATAATGCGATTCCAAAGCACCCTTAGTGAGTGCAGGTAATTTTGGCGGGAATTTCGGAGATTTTCGTTGTGGCGGCGTCGGCCATTTTGGCACGTGGTGTTAATTAGTGTGACGTCATTAAAAATGGTTAAAAAGCGGCGTCACGCCCATAAGTGGGGGCCGGGATGTGTGGAGGAGGTTAATTGTTGGAGGCGGCGAGCCCGGGAGCGTTTTCGGTCGTCTTATTGACCGGTGGCGGGCGAGGTGGGGCGGCGGATACCAGGAGCCTTATAAATGTTTATGTCATCGGCCGATTTTTGATGATGCGCATGCGAGGGGTTTTTTAATTAATTAAAATTTTCTGATTAAAGTTGGGGAAAAGGGAGATCGTCGATTAGAATTTTTGCGAACCAGACGGGCGTTTCGATTCGTTGGGTTTTTAATTGACTAATTAGGATGATTGGTCATCCATTTTTGTTGGGTTTTTTTGACAAGGTATGCCGGAAAATCGTTATTTCCAAAGCAACTCTTGGAACTTATGGTTTAATTAATTAATTAAGAAACTTTGTTAATTACCTTATCTATACATAACACAGCTAAGGTAGGCTTCCAAATGTTTTGAGTACTATTTTTCCACATAATTATGTGTGATTATTGGTTTTTCTTGTTATTTCTGTATCATTTACAGAGACTTAATAGAATGTAAAAAATTAAAGAATGAATTAAAACTCTAACTTTTTAATCTAAATTATGAAGAATTTATTAAAAAAAAATGAAAAAATTTGAGCTGTAGTATATTGGGTGAGTTATAATTAGTTGTATTTTTTTACGAAAGATTTTGTACACCAAAACAGCGACTTTAATAAAAAAAAATGTTTCCTTGAAAAGATACAGGGTGTTGGTGCAGGGAAACATTTCGAACATTTGACATAGTTTTCTGTTTTTAAATCATTATTACGAGTTGGAGTTTATTATAATACGTTTTTAAAGTAATCGGATTAGGTGTTATCTTTTAATTTAAAGAATTAAGAATGTTTTTATTAACACTCTGTCTTTATCGAGGAGAAGCGTTTTTTTAAAGGTGTAACAGCTTAATTACTTAATTGCTCTAAAGAAGCTTTGGTATTTTTTTTACATCTAATTACGACTCACCTTGTATACATGATGTTTTTATATTATTCAAAAAAACTTAGCTTTAGAGGAATTTCTTTTTATTAATGTGAAATATTAAACGTCTTATTATAAAAATTTATTTTTTAAACTTATTTTTAACAAAAACGAGCAAAAACTAGTAAAATAAAAAACAATTTCGATTTATTTTGTG